TATAAGCGTAGCCTTAAATCAAGACCAATATATGTTAAAAAGTTGATGTTTTCCCATCTATGAGTAGTGGTTAGAAGTTCCAAACTTATATCACAATTGGGTTTTTCATGCATAAAGTAAATGAATTTATGTACGTATAAAACTTCCATTACATCTGAAAAACCCCGTAAATCAATGTGTTTTTAATACTCTATGTGAGTTTTATAACCATGCTATTGACAAGGAATGCCTATACACAACGTTCTTCAGGCGTTGGAATGTTCTGACGTTTTTCACCCCAAATGGTGTACTATAGCTAACAGTCAGGGTGCGGGGTTGTCAATCCCGTATAGATCTATACACAAACACCATGCTCCCCCTCCAAGGGATTCTGGTATATAATACATGACTTGAAATGTGTACTCGAGCGTACGTGAAGTTTAATGTCTCACAAAACTTAGTATAAAACAGATTTTTGTGTGAAAATGTTCGTTTGTTCTTGTATATGAAAGTAGCCTCTTGAAATAGTATTTCCATGTATGTAAAAGTTCGTAGTATTCTCGTAAAACTATACCTATTATAGTTTTCTAAAAGTGCGTTTCGTTAGTATAGTAATTCCTAGTGAAAATGTTCACTTGTTATGAAAAGTATAGTTTTTGTAGTGCCAAAACCGACACACATAAATATAGTATAAGCAGAGTGTCTGATTTACATAAATACATAAATCATTTCTTATTTCAAAAGATAAGATGTTATCGTGGTATAATTTACATATGAAAGTTTCCCTATAATAGTTATAAATCACATATGATTTCGTTGATAAAAAGCGAATAATTAAACTTTATATAACACACAATAATAATCGAGTGTTTTACTTGTATTCCCCCCCTTAAAATCATATAAAAGTACTTATAAAACGTTTAAAAGTGTGAATTATAGGGGTATGAACTCATTTGAAAGATCGGAGAAGGCGGGATGAAAACCGGACATAATTTCGACTCGAGAAAGCGGATTTTCTCGGGATTCTCGGGAATCTCAGAAAACGACCATCGGGACTTGAGCAATGTGACCGGGACTTCGGGATAGTATGGGCACGGAAAACGAGGCAAAAACGCAAGAAAGATGAGAGAGAATGGCCCTTTTCTTCGGAACCCTCACATCCCTTTTATAGGGGGTGTGAACCGCCTCCGTACGCGGGGCGTACGCGCGTACGCTGGGCGTACCCGTGCGTCACGCATGCGCGCATCCTCGACTGCTTCGGACTCTGGATGGGACGTGACATAGCTCGCATAGGGTGCGACATGGACGATCCGAGGCCAAGGCTTTGAGTACGTTGGGCGTAAGCGTGTACGCTGGGCGTACTCGGGCGTGACTCAGCCTTCGGATAATACCGAAGTTTCCAATTAAAATTTATATTTTGTAATGTATAATAAACTTCAAAAATTCATATCTTCTTCATACGAAATCCGTTTTCGACGTTCTTTATATCCACGTGTAGGTGAGACTATACTCTACAACTTTCGTTTAGATTCCGTCGGCAAATTTTGAAATTATTTTTATTATTTATTTTTAAAAGGTTGCGGTAAGAAAATTTCTTTAAAAATTCATAACTTCATTATCTGACGTCTGTTTTTGCCATACTTTTTACCGTTGAAAAACCATTGTCAAGACCTTCGATTCTCATTTAGGTCATTCCGGTCAAAAGTTGTTCGATCTCTGTTTCGGGTTTTTAGCTGTCCGTTGCTAAGCTGAACTTGGAAAATTCATAACTTCCTAATACGAAGTCAGATTTTGGCGTTCTTTTTACGTACAATCACGGTTGATTAACATCTAACATAATAGGTAATTTAATTAGTGATTTTTGGATGTTTTATTTTCAAAGTTAATTTCATTATAACGAACGTGGTTACAATACTTGACTTTTTAGGTCGTTTACATAGAGTTGAAATATCGAGTTGTCACAAATATGCAGGCAAGATTTCGTTTGTGCATTTCATCGAGCACTTCTTGCGCATGTGAAAGGACTAATGTATTTAAACAATCAGTAATATATTTATAAACTAAAATATAGTTGGCATGTGATAAAGACCAATAAATATGAAGAAATATGCAAAAACATACCAGAAACTTAATAAGGCGAGTATCTTTCCAGCGAGATGTTTGCTAACAATTTTTTTAAATGGATCAACTACTCACCTTTCAAACTTACACTTCACATAGAATTAAAGTATGATCAATGAAATAGTCGGTGGAAGCAAAAATCATCACATAGAAGAAAAGTATATGATAGATGATAAAAAGACCATCAATAATTTCGCCAAAATCAACAGATAGCACTTGAAATCTGAGAAACACTTAAGGAAGGAAGATGTATCATAGACAGTACTCTAGGGCCATATAGGCAACAATCAACGATGACATAATGGATTTCTTTCTTCCGGCAACAGTCGGGAGTGGTTTAAAGAAAAGGGTACATGGATTTAAATAAAGCGGCCTAAAATCAAGAGCCATCAAAATCGTTTTGTAGGCTGTTAAAAGGAAGTAAAACACTTGTGGCAAGGGGGCAGAAGTCATGGATTGGGGAAGTAGGATAAATGAACAGCATGACAGAGAAATAGAAAGTGAAGAAGACTTAATTTACAGTGATGAGGGGAAGCATTCAAATTTCAAAAACGAAATCCAACTTTTTAATTTAGGAAGATTGTGAGAAAGAATGCGAGAGGTGCACCTCCAAGTCAGCTAACTTACCAAAATACTGATAGTTACACCCCTGATTTAGGGATTGAGTTTAATTTCATTGACAATATGTACGAATGCAAGAAACTATGGAATAAAGGGGTAAAAGAGTAATTTAACTTAGCATTACACAAATATCATTGAGATGCCACATGTACAATTAGGTTTCTTTTATTAAGAGAGAGATTTTAAAGGTATTTTAGTTTTTCAATCTGGAGAGGGGACGTTTTCGCATACAAAGTAGCTCAAAAGGATTATCAATCCGGAAAAGTCAAGATATGGACCAAATCTTGCAAAAAATACATACCACATAATTTTGACAGTTTTGTTCTTAAGTTATTTTCATGATTTTTAGACAATTGAAGAAGTTGTTGATTCTTCTTCCTATCTTCTTCGAGTATTATCAGGATCTTTTAGCAACACATCATTTAAAAATCAGTTTTCAAAACCTCTCTTCTACTACAACATCCTCTCATCCTGGCCTCCCCCTTTTCAACTAGTTTCCATTGTTTCCCTTCCACAACAATGTCACCTTTTCGAAGATTTGAACGGGAGTTGATTTTATCTCCATCAATAATGATGATGAAAATGAATTTGAAAGGTATGAACAATTAATAATGGATTTTTTGGGGGCTCACTCCCACCTATGCGGTTTCGAGTGCGGTTAGGCCGCACCTCACCCTTTTTTGGCCGCGTTTTTGATTAGGTAATGGTTAAATTTGACCGTTGAACGGTCAAAACTGATAACATTTTTTTCTTTCCTATAATTTAAACCATTTACTTCATTTTTTCAAACAAAAATCAAACTTTTACATTTCTCTATTACTTTGTCTCTCAAAATTAATAGAAAATGTCATCTTCTGAATCTTCTGAAGAATTTCAAGTTATTTTTGATGCTGCTATTGTTTGTGCTCAAATGGCGGAACAAACGTGTGATGCTTTATGCAATAATGCAGCCGAAAGTTCTCAACTGAGAACATGAAGATATATTTGTTGTAATCATGAAGAAACCAACCAATGTTTGATACAAAGAGAATGCCACTTATCAATGCTTCAAAGGTACAATTTTCATAGGCGCTTCAGAATGTACAAACGTTATACAAACGTATAGTTAAAGATGTAACGAGGCAGTGCAATTTTTTCCAACGACATTCCGATGCTAGAGGTGCACCTGATTTCACTCCATTACAAAAATGCACGGTCGCACTTCATCAGTTAGCATATGACATTACGCTTGCTGCGTTGGACGGGAGTTTTAGGATGTCTGCTAGGACTGCACGAAATAGTCTCTATTATTTTTGCAAAACCGTGATTCGGTTTTATGGTCCAAAATATTTACGTAAGCCTACACGTAATGACATCTTACAGTTGTAAGCTCATCATGCTAGTGTGCATAGGTTTCCTGGAATGCTAGAAAATTTGGATTATCTCCATTGGGCATATGAGAAAATTGTCCTACCTCACACATGGACAATTTACCTAAGGTGATCATTATCACCCAACGGTCATAGTTGAAGCAGTTGCATAACAGGATTTGTGGATTTGACATGCTTTTTTTGTACTCCCGGTTCGATTAACAACATCAATTTTCTTAATCGTTCATCTATATTTAATAATATATATGACAGATCTGCACCGGATTCTTCTTTTGAAGTGCATGGAACGTCATATAAGTATAGTTATTATATTGTTGATGGGATGTATCATGAGTATGTTTTGTTTGTTAAATTGTTTAAGTGTCCACATGATTCTAGTCGAAAAAAATTCAAGAAAGCTCAAGAAAGAGCTAGAAAAGATGTCGAACGTACATTTGGAGCTCTTAAGAAACGTTGGTTCATATTAAAAGAACCAACAATTTATTTTGGCGAAGAAAAACTTCAAAAAATCACGTATACATGTTTCATATTGCATAATATGATTGTTTCGGTGACACCACCGATCTATATCAAAGTGACTTAATGGTCGCTACGAACCATGGTGAGTGGTACATGGTGTTTGACAAAAACCTCATCGTCGAGCCTAATTAGATATGGTGTCTCTTATTGGTCATTGTTTGATTGATATGACCAAATTGTTTATTATTTTACTTATAGTACAAAAACTAAAAAGTTAAATCATTTTATTCGATAAATACTATAAACCAAGCAATTATTTGCAATATAAACAAGAAAAAAGAAAATCAAGAATTAAACAATATGTAGAACGACACCGTTTCATTCATTATAACGTGGACTGGTCGTCCTTAACAATTACAGCGAATAAGAGAAGTAGCAACGATCACGCGCTCACTCCTCCTTCTGACCGGTGACGCTTTCATCGTCCGCCCATATTTGCCGGTGACGTGGCCGCCACGTCGCGTAGATAGCCGGAGACTTGCCGTCCACCCTAGAATCATACGTACGAAACCCCACTTCGCCGTTATTACCATTCATCTCCGCCGTCAGGACAACATTGTCCGCCACTGCAGCAACCTCGCAGCGCCTTCCGGAGCTTAATTTCACGTCGCGATCCAAATCCCAGATCGCAATTTCACTCCCGTACTCGGATTCATCGTCTTCAAAATCTAACCCTAAACCAAAACTATCCCACAACTGTACAACGCTCTTCCCGGCGGAAAAATCCGACAACGAAAACCCGTTACGCCGTCGGAGCGTGAAATTACCATCGGACCCTCTGTTGTTTCCCCAAAAACTAGAACCCTCTGCCCGGAAAACTTCATCCGGATGTCCGTCCTCTGAATCCAATTCTTCATCATCGGACTCTGCCACAGACGACGGTGTATCATCGTCGCCGTCGTCATCGGAAAAGTCCAAATCTAAATCATCATCGCCGAAAATCTGCTGAGGGCATGATTTTTGACAAGAAGCTAAAAGTTTGAGACGGATCTGGTATATAAACAATTTAATCCTATTAAATACACTAGTGAAAGTAGCGAAAACAGCAAGAATCAAAGCACCCCATGTCCAATAACTGTAAAACCGAGGAACTTTATCGATTAGAGAAACTGTAGAAAGTAAAGATGGGTTCTGTAAGCATTTCATTCCGGCTTCGAAATCGCCGATGAGATTGAGCTCCGTGATTTCCATATTGATGTGATGCTTCACAGCTGGAGATGGTCAATAATGGTGATCGTATATTAGAGAGAGAGAAAGTGGGGAAGAAAATGAGAGAGTTTGAAGGAAGTGGATGGTTTGGGGAATATATAATGGTTGGTAGGTGGATTTTGGGGAGGCGTTGAAGAATGGTTAAAAGATAACACGATTGGGTTCAAGGGTTGAAGAATGGTTAAAAAGATGACACGATTAGGTTTTTAATTTTTATATTTAAAGCTAAGGTAAATGTTTCCACTCTATTAAAACCCTCAATTAAAAACAATTCATTGGTCTAAACAAATGTTATTAAAATCATAATAAAGATAATATGATATCGGCTAAATAAATCGATTCTAATCAGTTGTGTTTGGCGTACCACAGCTAGCTGATAAGCTAGTTTATTTTTCGATTTTTTTTATGTTGTCATGTTTGGTAAGTTAACTTTTTATAAGCTAGCTTTTTGAAAAGTTACTTAGACTAGCTTTTTAGAAGCTTTTTTAAAAAAATTTAAATACACCCCTTAATTAATTATAGAAACATATACTCTCACAAGTCCTTTTATGTAGTTTTATATATTTCAGCTAGTTTTACCAGACGTCTTTTTTTATCAGCTAGCTTTTCAGCTATCGGTTTGTTTTTTATTTAATAGCTAGCTTTTCAGCTATCAGCCAGCTTTTCAACTAGTACGCCAAACATTGGCTAACTATATGAATTATACGAATTAAGTTAATTGAATATAATTAAGTAAAACTCATGTTCAAATGTTTATTGTTACATGATGTATTGTAGATGTTTTAAACTATTTATTATTAATTGAATGGTTAATTGAACAATGAATATGAATACTTTATGTTTTAAATAGTTTTTTTTTGTAGGATCTTAATTCAATTTTATTATCACAATTTTAAAAAAAAAACAAAAAACGATAAAATGATATATATTAAAATTAGTAATTTTCTTATATTCTGCATAAATAAAATGATATATATTAAATATTTATAAATATATATGGTTAAACTCCATTGCTATTCAAATAACAAGAACTCTTTTTATGGGACATTTGAAATCTAAGGTTGCTACCTTTGAGCTTTAAGAATTTCAATTCTAAAAACTAAATTGATGAGCACAATATAGGTTTAAGACGAACTTGGTGAATTGAGACGTGCAATTAAGAATTAATCAAAGAAAATTGAAGTTTAAGGAATGGCGTAGAAACGAAGTTTTTAAATTACTAAAAATGAGTATAACGTAGTTTAGTTGAGTGTATCTGAAAAGGATGCTATACCTTTTGATTTCTTTATAAACTTGTTATACGCTTTAACAGTTGTTAATCATTGGTCCATATTATTAATATTAGTTATGGTTGACAAGGTTATATTATTTACTGTAGTTATAAAAAAAAATACATATCGACATGTAATCGAAGTTACATATTCTCTAAAATTATATGTTAAGTTATACTATATATTACATTCTTATTTAGACAAAATAATACAGTATTTATTTATACATAATACACTAAAATGTTTTTAAATGCAAGCTAGTGTGTAATGCTTCGTATATTGTGTTATTCTAATTTGAAAAACATTTAATTTAATTTAAATTTTTTTCAATTCCAAAAGCATAAAAAATGTGGGTGAAATTGAGAAGCTGACTTGGCGGTTGTGTATTGGATAAGATGATATGAAAAAGCGGAAATTTCTAGGGACCCACCCAGCTGGGATGAGCTGACTCAGGTTCGAGTTGATCCAACAAAGGGTTATTTAAGTCTGAGTCAGCACCATGAAATTTTGTGGCTATTTGAGCTTTAGACGGCTCACACGCCCTTACGTGATTGTGGTCGGCGATTTTTTTGAAAATTTTCCATTTCATTATAAATTTTTGAGTAAATTACCCGAATGGTCCTTACGGTTTAGGGTAAATTATACGTTTGGTTTATAACTTATTTTTTTTAATTCGAAAGGTCTTTATTGTTTGTTTTTGTTATGCGTTTGGCCATTGAATTTTCAATTTATTTAAATAAACACACCATCAACCTCATCCACTCACCTTACCTTACCAACCCCATCATTTTTTCCTATTTAAATAGTAGTATTTTAGGTAAAACAATATCTAAATGCGTAAAAAAAACAAATAGTAGAGACCAAACGCATGAAAAGAACAAATAGTATGGATGTTTCGAATTAAAAAAATAAGTTAGAGACCAAATGCGCAAATTACCCAAACCATGACCATTCGTGTAATTTACTCTAAATTTTTTGTTTAAATATTTACTTTCTAGTTTCTAGATCCAGCAAAGAAATGTATATATATTATATTTAAAATGATAATTATATCAGAAAAACAATAAAACATTACCATTACAAATCAATTATCGTAAAAAAAAATACTAATAGTAAGCAAAAACTACTATAGTAGAACACAAAAATAGTTTATATCAATTATTTTGACCATGTAAAACCATCCATGATTTCAAATTTCAATACCTAAATATTTTAAATTAAACACAATAAGTCCAGAAAAGGACGATATACAAACACTTTATTAAAATAAATCTTTAAGAAAATTTAGTTAAATAATTAAAAAAATCATGTTCGTTAACATAAAATTAATATAAATAAGTCTTCGATAAATAGTCTATATACATTATCTCTTTTCTGATGTTCACGTTTTAAAATACAACCATAAATGAAATCGTTGTATGTGGTTTCACACATGCCAAGTATGGTTATGCTATGTTATAAGGTCGTTTTCATTACAGCAAAGAAAACGATATCCATGGTGCACTTTTTTCTCTTTTTCTTTTTATATTTTGTCAAAGTCATACGTATAATTTTTAACTCTAAACAAAATATTAGAATATAATTTTTTTTTTGAGACAATTGCATTTTAATACTAGCAAAAATCTAGAAAAAGGAAACAGTTACACAATAATAGCCAGAATTGGGACACAACTGACATTAAATCTTTAGATCTATTGAAAAAACAATTGAGCGATAACACAACCATACTATCAAACAAGACATACTATAAAAAGATTATTTTGTCATTGATTTTTTAACAAGCAATATTTTTCATAATTTAATCAGAAATCTTCAACAAAACAAATATTTTGCCATTTTAGTTTGTTTATTCAACCATAGAAGCCGACCCTAATTTTTTGTTTTGTCATAAAGAATGATATGTCAAACTTTTAGTTATTGCCTTATTGGGATAAGTGTGGTGCTGTTAAATAAAAAAATAGATCCGTTTTTAATTTATTAGATATTCGTTTATTAGATAATAATTTTAAACTTGGGTTTGCATTTAAAGTTAACCCTTTTCTTGGACATCTGGAATATTTAAGTCCAAAAGAAAGTGGTTGTAGCAGAAATATTCGTGCTAATCTATTAATTAAGAACCATCGCTAATTATAGAGGAAATAAAGTAACATGAATACAAAGAATCTCTAAGAAATAAAACCAACCTTTCTTCGTTTAGAGAACAATTTATGTTTAATTATCACTTATTTTAATAAAAGAATTTCCATTATAATCATTGGCTAAAAAGATTGTTTGGCATGATTTCAATTTTTAATATTTAAATTTTTATGATGTCTTAATTTTAAAGATATGAAATTTAAGTCAGAGAGACCACTAAGAGAAAAATGGGAGGCGGCAGTATGAAATAGAAAGAGAGGGTAAAAAGTTTTTTGAATTAAGGTATTTTTCGAATATATTTTTTTGTAAATAATTCTTTTAAAAATTAAGAGGTCACTTGAACAATTGAGAGAAAATTAAGAAGCTATCAGACGTTATAAATTTGAAATTTTTAAAGTTTGCTTGAGAGAAAATTAAGAAGCTATCAGACGTTATAAATTTGAAATTTTTAAAGTTTGCTTCTTAATTGAAAAATTAAAAAGCTACCAAAGAACTTATAAATGTATAAACTCCAAATCAAATATATATAACTAAACAATATTTTTGTTAACAATGAATGTTTGTTTGAAAAATGGATAATGACTTTAAAAGTAATGTATTTTTTTAATTTATACATATTTAGTTATTGAGTTTTTTTCGTCAATATTTACCGCTCCAACTTGCTAAAAATGTACGAATTCAGTCCATATTATCGGTTACTATAGGTTAGCTAGGAAGCTACTATAGGTTAACCAGGAAAAATAATTTAATATGTAATATATTTAGTACTTTATATACATTTAGTCATGAATATTATTTTTACAAATTTAGTCTTTAATATTTTTTGGGAAAACTACAATAAAGTCCCTACATATTGGCTTCATAATCGATTTAGTCCCTATATATTTTTTTTATTCAATTAAGTCCCAAATACCGGTAATCGTATTCAATTTAATCCTTTAACCCGGTCAACAGGTCATCCAACTTTCAAAAATTACATTTTTGGCCCAGATTTCAAAATTTATTACAAATTTGATCCAAAATTTACACTTTTGGCCCGGATTTTAATTTTTTTTTACAAATTTGGTCCAAACTTTACCTTTTTTGCCCAAATTTTAGAATTTTATTATGAATTCATCCTAATTTTATTTTTTGCAACTTTTTTTTTCAAAAAATTGTTTCTAATATGTTTTTTCTTTATAAAATCATATTTATACCAAAAAAAATGTATTTTCACATAAAAATCTTATATTTTCTATATAAAACTTTTTTTAAAAAGTCTTTTGTATATGAAATATCTAGTTATAAAAATATGTATTTATTTAGTATATAAATATATATAAATTTGTTTTTATAAAAAAATGTACACACACCTATCACCTTTATATATATATATATATATATATATATATATATATATATGCACACAAATAGGTGTGTATCTATATTTTTTTTTATTAAATCGTGTTTGTATATGAAATATTTAGTTATAAAAAAACTTTCTTCAAAAAGTTTTTTGTATATGAAATATTTAGTTATAAAAATAAGTATTTATTAAGTATATAAATATATAGAAATCCGTTTTTATGAAAAAAA